TGTGTGTGTGTGTGTGTGTGAAAAGAGGGAGACATAAAGACCGACAGAGACATATATTGTCACATATGTATCAACTAAACGAGTGCACTACAGACGACGACAATAGCAGACAGCATGGGGCGCACTGAAGCCGTTCTTTTGTCTTTTCCTGTGGAGTCTTCTTTCTTCTCTTTCCTTACCTGGGGTTTCATTGTGGTTTCAATTTAGTTTTATTTTAGCTCCCCCTTTGCTGTGCCTCTCACGTACAGGGCTCGCGATGTCGATATACTTGATTGCAAGCTGCCCACATCCTCATGGGGCCCACTTGCACAATGTGAAAAAGAGGCAGAGCATAGGAAGGGGGAAGAAAGATGAAAGAGCAACGAATCAAAGGAAGACGAAGCAGAAGTAAGGAGTGTGGAACGGAGACGAAAGCATGGGGAAGGTTAAAAGAAGCCTCAGGAGTCCCTCTATCCTTGACGACGAAGAGGTCATGTACTGTAAGGATGAGGAGACTGATGTGCAATGACTTGCTGATTTCTACTGCCGAGATTGACTGCGAGGCTGTATAGTACAGCGGTCGGATAGATTCGTAATTTTGTTTGGCTGAGGGCTAACCGAGAGACCTACCTGTAAGGAAATTCGTGAGGGACAACTGCAAATCTAATATCGGCCCAGAACTAACTCGAATTCCTACAGCTACCCTAACTGCGTAGAGTAGGCCCGGGCTACCCCTAGGACAGACAGGCCCTAAGTGGCCTATGCTGATAGACGGTCCTATAGCCTATAGCCGGGTCCAGTAGAGGCCGAGAGGCCGAAACAGAAACGGTACCGGTCGGCCAGCCAGTCCGGTTCAGGTCTAGTGTAGTCTATAGATAGGTTAGGCCCATCGGTTCAGGACTTTTGGCAGTTCATTCTCACGAAGCAGCGTTGGAGAAGCCAAGCAAGTTGGTGGCGGAGTTGGTCTGCAGGCGGCATCCTGAGACCTCGCCGTTGACAGCAACCATAGCCGGCCCAGTCTGAGTCTGCCATAGCTAGGGCATCCTCAGCGCACCTACCCCTGAGGTATCTGCGTCTGGCCGGGCTATATCGAGGCTCTACACTGTGTACTCGTGGGTGGTAGCAGCCATAGCTGCCTGTTCCTTCGTCAGAGTTGTCCATCGGCACTGAAGACTTCATCGCAGGACCTGTTCTTCATCAGGGTGGTTGGTGCTGGCCTCTGGGAGGCCATTCTGATGTGGCGCTACTAACTGGGTGTAGGATAGAGAGTGGGGTGTGAGTTCTGAGAGTGGCGAGATACTGGAACAAACTCTGTTACGATAATTGTTTCAGTTGGCTCATCATCAGTGCAATTTCAATTGTTATCCTCGCAGGTTCTACTTGTGATTGGTTGTTGGGAGTTTGTGAGAGAGAGAGAGACTCTGTGTGTCTTCTCCCCATCTGTGCATAGCTGTATTTCGCTGCCTACTTTGATCTGTGTGCAGTGTGGACTCTGTCTCCTCTCCCCCTTCTCTTATGCATGTATGGGCGTGTAGAGATTGTCTGTGTGTGAGTGGCGGTAAAAATCGTCAGACAACCAAGATCATAACAGATGACATGGAAAACCTGGCTGAGTATTCTCAACACAATGATTTCCATCACAGCTGCCATTAAGCGCCCACCAAACACTCCCAGCAAATGGCATATCAGTTGCCGGCCAACATAAGGGAAGAACGGGCATCACAGAAGACAATGCATTGATTATAACATTCATTGAAGGGGCGCGCGCGCGCGAGAGAGAGAGAGAGAGAGAGAGAGAGAGAGAGAGAGAGAGAGAGAGAGTCTCCTTTTTTGGGGGGTGGATGGGGGGGATTTTCCAAATACCCCCATAAGTTCAGATATATGTCAAATGTCCCTGAAAGATATGGGCACAGTGGCATGGCCTTTTGGGCTGACATATTTGTGTTATGCCCCTGTTAGGCGGGTGTGCAAATTTGCTTGGCCTTTTGCGATTTGCAAAGTTCGGCAGAGTCCTGTAGGAGCACATTGCAAAGATGGGTTCCAACTGATGGCTGGGGTGTTTCGCAAAATGTTTTTGTCATCGTCCTTCGCCGCATCGTAGCTGCCGCAGGTCCACTTGTACTAAAGGAAAAGCCGGGTCTCGTGTGATGCTGGCGCGAGACCCGGTTTCCAGGTTTGGGACCTCGGGTGGCGGGCCCAGGCCGGGGGAAAAAAAAAAGAAGAAAATTGCGACCGTCAGCGGCACAAACAGGCGCGGCCTGGGGACGGTTCGCGGGGGCCGTATTAGAGACGCAGGGTGTCGGTGTGTGGGGGAAATTCGCGGGGGGTGTAGTGCATATTTCGATGTTCTACCTGAAGATTCATTTGATTTTGCTCATCCTATCGATGGGCGGAGCATGAGCCATTCGGAGGGTTGGAGACTTACATTTTGGCCGGTCCGTGCGCGCGCGTGTGTGTGTGTGCGTGTTGCTGTGTGTGTGTGTGTGTGTGTGTGTGTGTGTGTGTGTGAG